TTCAGACTAGAGCGATCACTCGCTTGTCAGTCTAGTAGGATCTGGAAGACATTGGTTTAAGCTTCTATACGAGCAGAACCCTACCATACAAAATTCTTATTTCAAGCACATTACGATTGATTGAATTTTGTTCTGTTGCAGACTTAGAAAAATAAAGGAAGATAATGATCTCAGGCCATGTGAAACTGTAAGTCGCACACGTTTTCGACTTTGTATATACAAATATTAAGAACCCCCTAAGGATCTAATAATAAATGCAGTCACGATTCTTTCAAAGCTAAGAAGTAGAACTTACTCCAAACGCTTTCTAACTCTTTAACAGAAAAGAAAGAAAATACGTTTAATAGCTATTTGCGCCAGTCCACAACAACCCTCGCCCCATAAGGCATTTTATAACTCCGCCTATAATTCATGCATATAATCTCTCATACATTATTCCCCCTTCATCCCCTCACAAAGCGGGTGTCTTGTATATGATGGACGAGTAGTTGGAAGGTTGGGCGGAAGATGATGATGAGGAGCCGGCCTGTTTGAAACCCAGTGGGTCCAAGCCCCAAGGCCGGGGCGGTCATTGCTTTCGAGCAGCGGTTCCCACACGAGAACGAAATTGATGAATGCGCGGTAAAAGAAAAAGAGAATAGTACTCGAGAGATATAACTACGTCTGATCGCAATTTCGTGCGATTAGCAATCTTCTGCGTGCTTTCGATGGGCAATCATTTGCTATGTATATAACACGAGCGTTAAACATCTATTTTAGGATAGTTAAAATGGAATCTTATGTTTCACGGTTTTAACTATCGCAACAGACAATGTTCTGTAACGTAATACCATTTCTCTTTCAATTAAAATGGCAGACGTGCTAATTCTTTTATCGTTTTATCTAGGGAGTGTTTGAAGAAACATATCCTCTATTTGTGAATCAACTGAATTACATAATCCATTCTTTAAAGTTTCGTCTCTTATAACTTTGAAATTTCACACATTCATTTTTGATAATTTTCTTAAATGAACTGTTATGTTTGCTATTACTGATTATAAAATCCTTGCTTTGGGGAACATTCATTACACTGAAAATTTTACTTCCAATTTATCTAGTTTGTATATTCTCTTCAGCACTCCTCTTCCATGGCTGATTCTTCCAGAGATAAAAATCACACATATTAGACTGCGCATGGATTATTCATATGTCTGTTAACTGAAAGTCTTTTGAATTATGCTGTAGGGTTTATATTTATTTGAACTAACATTTATTTTAAGTTTAAACTATCTTTCCTGTCAAGCCTTACTTTCCCCTGGAACTGCCAATGCCAGAATATGTAAATTTGAGTAGAACGCGCAAGGATTCAAATTATCAGCGGAAGTATTATGATTTAAATAGAAGGAAACGAGTTCGGTGAGAGAGTTATTCTTACTTAGCGAGCGCGGATGTAGAAATCGAGAATTGAAGAACCCCGCGTTGCGGCCTATGTGCTTGGCGGGAAGTAGTTGCAATTGTTCCAGTGAGCTTCAAGTCTGCTGAATTAGCTGCGGTATTTGTAAAACGCGGTGAGTTAGTTATTTTAGAGAGCCTCGTAGTTAGAATCTTGTCTTTAGTTTCTTTTCAGGTTCTTATTTTTATTTGACTGCCTAGTGGGCACAGTCTGTAAGCGTCAAGAGGACGCCATTGTAATTTATTACGTTGAATAAAAAGGGACTTAAACCCTTTATAAGACTCTGTGGTTTATCAAGCTTTCACAGTCACCTCTTGGTTGCGTGCTAGTTAGAGGCGCGCAACGTTATAATGCAGCTAATCAGTGATGTGGTATTCAAAATTTGCAAGGGCAAATTCAGTGCTGGCGAACGTTTGGAATACTTCTGTGTGTACCATTGTTAACAGGTATAATTCCCGTATGCCCCCTTTACGAAAAGAAACACCCTGTTGAAGTTGATTACTATATTTAAAGGTGCGCATGGTTACCTTATATTGTCCTCTGCAAATATGCAGTGTGCTATACAAGCACAGAACGTTAAAATGCAGTTAAAATAAAATGTTAGGAATGTTAATGAGGCTATAAGACATTTTAATCGCAATTTGTAATGATGCCACATTCAAATTTTTTGCAAATGATGCCAGCGGCTGGCTGCGTAATTATTTCTCAGGTCATAAAAATGGCAGATATGACATTCGTGAATAACCTGCTTATAGTCCATTACCTGAAACTAATTTTGTTTGTCTCTAGAAGGGAATTTAGGCAGAGATATCTCCAAGAATCAATTGTAGCTTAGGATTCGATAACAGTAGAAGCTAATTACGATATGATCATTAATGTTCCGCAGAGTTTACAGGAGTCTGCAATAGCAAACATACCCGTTAGCTTGTAGAAACGTGTAAAGAAAGCTGGAACTCTTGTGGAATTTTTAAATTATTGTTTACAAAATATCTCTCACATTTATGATCGAGATAAAAGTGTTTCTCCACATCATGAAAAATGATTAATACATTTTATTTAAGCAAAAGGCGATAAAGCTAAACATATAGATATACATCTTAATAGTACATAATTATTTGTTGAGCGAGGAAATTGATATTGGTGTAACAGATGTAACATTTATTGTGAGACACATTTCAACAAAATGTTATCTAGTATTTTATTCAGAGATTTGAAGATGAGCGATTGTCAATTAAATAATATATTTATTTATTCGTTGGCAATGAATCTTAAATATTAAAATGATCGCTACGCCAGCGCAGCTGCTCAGAAAAATAAAAAATTTGAAGCCTGTTGAATATTTTCTGATAATGTTGAAGAAATGGCGAGATAAACATCATGGATTATTTGAAATAATTTCATAAATAAACTGAGTATTCAAGATTATGTCTGACCTTCTACAAAAGCACGTTTGAAGGGATACTGAACCCTTGATCAATTAAAACAGAATTTTAATAAAATTATTATGATTTCAAATCATTCAACACAGTGCTTGCTTGCTTACTTAATGCTTTGAATATTAATTACCAGCGAATTGAGAACACAATATATCTAAATAATATAAATCGAATATTTTTTATTATTAAAGCTTATTTCCCGTTACTAAAAATGTATTCATTTCAAGTAAACGAAAAATTTTTAAATTATATTTTTCTGCAATCAAAGTATATTTATTAACACGAATTTTCAAATAACAAAAACAGGATTCAGGTTTGCTACAGCATACTGAATAATTATATATATATATATTTAAATTGGCATAGTTTGCCTAAGCGAGAAAAACTTCCTTTGCTTGTATGCTCCTTTACCTATGAAAAGTCAGTTAATATTTTCAAACGTGTGTAGAGACATTAGGTTAATTGGAAGGGAGGGAATCAAACTTCCAATTAAGCAGAATCAAACCACGGACCTCTGGAATTCGTAGGGAATCAAACCACGGACCTCTGGAACATCGGCCCAGCGTGCAGAACCACTACACTACGAAGGCACGCTAGGAAGGCGGGAGGAACACCTTATATACTCCCCCTTTTAAAGGGCGACTGGAGTTTAGGGGACTCAGTCGCCAAATCCTGGGTGTGGAGAGTCATCATCCAGAACCCTTTTAGTTCGGGCGCCACTGTAGAGACATTAGGTTATTTTTTTGGGAGCAGGCAAGATGAAAAATGTGCAACCTCCTTCGCCGGAAATTGAACCACGGACTTCTGGAATACCGGCCCAGCGTGCAGAACTACGAAGGCTCGCTAGGAAGGCGGGAGAAATACCTTATACGTGTATCTTTTAACCCACGAATTTCCAAATATTTTCGAATAACGACACACTGAAATTAAAAGTGACTTAATCATCTTTATCATTATAATAACAATCTGAACCTGGTACCTAGGCACTGAATTCGCAGACTAACACACGAATTCACTTTAACAAATTCACCAGCTTGTTTCTCTGTTTGAAATTCACCATCTTCATTACATAAAATACTGATTAACATAAGTTAACGTTGAAAATGGTGAGAAAATTTTAATTTAAATTTCTGAAGTCAAAATTTTAGGTGAATTTGAAAATTTGCAACACATTTCATGGGGCTTCTACGCTACTAAGCTACGATGTAGTGATAAAAAAACACTACTATGAAAGCTTAAATTAAATGAGAACTAAAACAACATCTCTTACTGTTTACTACTGACATTATCTAAAATAATTTATTTATTTTTCAAATATTACATCTCATTTAGCCTATTTAAAATACGGAAGTATGTTCAGAGAAACAGCGAAACATATTCACCAATAAAAACGTTTATGCAGATAAATGAGGATGTGATAAAACCCAAAATGAAACCTACAATAGATAAGAAAAGATTAATTTCTAACAAGGAAACGCATCAATATTAGAAGACTTATTTTTCAGCGAAACATCATACTGAAAACTTCGTGTATTACTTAAAATTAAAAATACGATGAAGAATTTAAAAACATATCGAAGAACGTGCGTGAAAATTCGTGAAAACAACTAAAAAATATAAAAATAGCAAAAAAGGAATGTCTATAGATAACGAAGATAGCCAAGGCTGTGACAATTACCAATAAGAACCACGTTTTTCAATTAAGAAAATACATTTAATGATGATATAAATCATCTAAAAGTAAGCAAGAACCTTCAAAAAGGGTAAAACCCGCACTAAGATAAGAGAGAAAATGAGACTCCTGGGAAGAAGTTTCTGTCACGTGGAAAGTGAGTGAAAAATTTTGATTCGAGTATATGATCTACTTCGAAAAAGAAACTTCTAGAAATGAGAAATTCTTTCACAAATAAATTATTAACATTGAGGAAGAAAATAGGAACGTTAAAATTTTCACGATGTTTCTTGGGCAAAAGTTCCTAAACAAGAGCTTCTAAATATTCAACTACTAATTCAAAAACAATTTTGTTAATATAAATTTTACAAAATTAATTACTACTACAAAATATTTTGTTCTCTAAAATACTCTAGGAAAGTAAGTAATTCAAATTAGTTCAGAAATGTATTCGACTTACCAAGTCTTTCCTGGAGAACTAAAATTAACTTAGCCAGTCTACCTGTAATTAAAGAAGCGTCATTAATTATAAATGAAACTATATTTAATTAACTTACAAATTATAGTTACTACGAAATTAAAAGTAATTGTTTCAAATAATTAAACAGATATTACGGAATGATTAGCTGAGAGTATTGCGGAATGAGTAGCAACCAGTAGAAGGAATCTGTCCAAAAAAAAAAAAAATCTGAAATGTTTCAGATTTTAAATTACGTCCAAAGGGGCGTTTTTTAACATTTTGTGTGCTACCTTTCTTTATTAAATATCATGTTCCTCGCACTTAAACCATAAGATCCAGTGCAACAGCAATATCGCAAAATAGTTTTAAAACGAGCATATCTTTAGAATTTCCGATACAGAGACTCACGCGCTGGAGATAAAAATGTTTTTTCTGCACATCGTTGCCATTGCTCGCTTTGAAATCCTTGAGTTTGTTAATCAAAAATTCGTCAAAGTTTTAAAAAATAGGAAATCGATCATAAAACAAATTTAAAATTTGGTCTTCCAGATGCTCATATTCGTTGGAGGATAACGTTATTCAAAATTCGATGACTCTATGTACCGTTGTTTTATCACAATACGAGAAATATACATACATTTATGCAGATTTTTCATTATTTAATTTCTTCAAATATAATGCAGGACTCTAACATTTTGTGGCAACAGTTTGAAAAGTGAACCGACATTTATGAGTCCGACGCAAAATGCCAAAACGAAACTAATAGTCCTTCGGGATTCAAATCCCTTTGGACTAAAAAAAAAACATTGCCTTCAGTAAGAAAGATGCGCATCCTGCTACTTAATGCAAAATAAAAATCGTATGTTTTACCGCACATTATTAAAAATGAATACGAAAGCGAATATGCTCTGAAGTACGCATATATCATTTTTTTAATTACCGTTTTCTCTCGTGTATTTTCTACTTTTTTACTTCCTTGTACGAAGTAAAAAGGAAGTATTGTAATCGCGAAAAGCTTCAGGCAACATATTTCAACGAAAATATCCACTTTGACCGCTTTCGAATGCAATTTAACGATGTTTTTGCGTGATATCTGCACGTAAGGACAGAATAAAAGATTCTTTTTCTCTAAAAAAACTAAAAAACTGCTTTAAAATGAATTCTGAAAAGAATTTTTCGTGGCGTCTGTACGAACGTATGTACGTACGTACGTATCTCGCATAACTCAAAAACGAGTAGCCTCAGAACGTTGAAATTTTGTATATAAGGCTACTATAACATGTAGATGTGCACCTCGTATTTTGGTTTCAATCGGCCGCGCCAAACGTGATATAAATATATTTATAAATATATCCACTCTGTTACCCGGCTCAGTGATCTCAGTTTCTTTACTCTTATATTTTTGTAAATTGTACATTTTTTGCTTTAAAAATGATTGAATTATGTTGTTTTTATCTTCCGGTTAAGGGTTTATGCCTTTAGTAAATCTACATGCAATATTTTTAGAATCATCAACAATTTAAAAATTGTTTAAGTGCCGCTAAGCCTAATTTGATGGCGGCCATCGATGTTTACATTTGAAACAGGAGACTAGTGGATTTGTTGCCAATCTAGAGAAACTTAGCTTAGCAACAACAAAGATAACGCATTCATTTATTATTTAAATCATGCTTAATCCGTTCTGGAATTTTTTCGGCGAAATAAGCGTTTAAGATTTACTTCGTAATTTTTAATACAGGTATTTTGAGCTTTTGTGTATTTTTGCCTTGTCGCGAAGTGAGAACTGAATTAATTGAATGAGAAATACTCAATCGTCTGTGAAAAACTGTTTCTTTTTTGTTTTGTTTGCTTAATTTCTTTTATACATAGTTCTAGCTTTATTATAGTATTTGAGTAGAACATGTGGCAACGATTAGATAATTCTTTAAATGATATAAATTTTGTGCATTCAGAGTTATAATATGAACGAAATATAATACTGTTAAGTAAACCTAGCGCCAGAGTGTCGCTATGGTAAACAAAGTGGATTTTAAAGAATGCATTTATTCTTTGTGGTTTATGCGCTGTCGGCGAAGTAGGTTTAATTCAGTCTAATAAGTTTAAATAAAATGCAAGAAAAAATGCGTATAATTTAATATTCCGTACAAGGAAGTCATGTGGTGTACAGATCAGATTTTTTTTCAATTAATTTTATCGTCTGAAGACGAGAAAGAAAAATTATGTCAGTAATTTAAATAACGAAGAAAGCGGTTAGAGTAAGAACATAACAAATGCAAAGTAGTCCTGAATAAACTACTGATAAATATCACATTATTATTTCTTTAAAAGAAACGTACATTCCAGTAAAAACGCACAGTATTATTAACATTACAATATCTGACGGATATAGAGCTGTAAGAATGAATTCCCTTGTAAAACTTCTTTGGCCGAGAATGAACGAGTCTTGACAGCAGTTCCCAAGACATTGATCGCAAGAATGAGAAGGAAGTCAAATAAAAGATTCGAAAGATCGAACACTTCAGTAGTTGATAAAGATATAATGAGCTAGGACGTAAATATCAGAAGTAAGGTGAAATCACATTTGGAAAGCTTCTTAAGAGGGAGAACACCTGAACCGTCCGGGTAGCTTAGGGAAGAATCTGCACAAAACGCGTCTCAAATAATACATGTAAGGGAAAATAAAATAGATAAAATACAAATGCAAATACAAATTGAATACACGGAATACTAATAAACTAGCCCTCAGAAGGAAAAATCTGTATCATAGAGAAAGGAAAAAATTATGTGAATTAACATTTTCAGAACCCAATAATAATAATAATAATAAATAAAATAAATTAGAAATAAATTAGAAAATACGGTATTCATTATTTAATGGGCAATTTTCGTGGATAATATCATTCAGCCAGGAAAACGCTCAATAGAAGTTATAAAATTTTGAAAATGCACAAAATATATTAACAGTGCAAAGTCCAAAACACAATCACATAGTCAAAAGCAGAAACCAGACCTCTAGTTTTCCAATTACTGTTAAAACCAGTTCTGTCTGACAGTGCGGGGCATGATTAAGAAAAATGAGGCTGGAAGCCATTCTTATGACACTTGTGGGCAAAGAGCATGGGGAACTGAAAGCCCTAGTTAAGATTCAGATATATTGCAAAGCTATCATTTTCTATAGCCATTCCCAAACCAGAAATTGTTTTTTTCCTAAAAACCTATCTCGCCCTCTTACAACAGGTACTTTGAAAATAGCTGTGCTTAATGTACAGTTAATAAAACTATAGATGCTTTACTTTTCTAAAAGATATTGGATTATATGAGAGAATAACCCCAAACATCTATGGAGTTACTACTGCGTTCTCTTAGCAACGACACTCGTGATTTTGGTGCCTGAGATGCAAGAATAAAAAGAAACACGATGATAGTCAGTTTGCCTTGACGCTCAAACCAGAGTGATCAGTTTCGGAATCGATTCAAAGAACCATTCACTTTACTGAGCAAATTCACACCGATTCCAGTAAACGGAGTTGTAGTTCTGTAACAATTCACGAAGAGCTCTTGTTGGAATCCTGCTAGGAGTACAGACATGCTAATCGTTCATGAACACATTCACTTTACTGAGCAAGCTTTATACTTGATTGGCGAACAAAGAACGGAACTCTGTTGGAAGGGGGCCAGGAAAGTTCGACTTCTATTTTAAGGAACATAAGAATGCTTGCCCTCCCACATTAAAAGCGAGTATAATTTTTATCGTTTCCCAGCTGTTTGAAAAAACTATTATTTTAGAATTTTAGTATTAGTTTTGTGTAGAGAGCAGATTTTAGTGATTGTTTCAGTATTCTTTGATCCCACTCCTCCGACTCTTCCGTTCTTCGCTCTATCTTCGCTAACCGTTCCTAATTCGCCCGTCTTTCCGAATCTTTTTCATCAAAGTTATTGTTAGCGAGGCCGTGAGTCAAAAAACAAAAATAACAAAAAAATAAATAAATAAATAAATAAAATAAATAAAAAAAAAAAATAAAATAAAATAAAAAATAATAACCGATTCATTTCAATGAGCGAACCATTCGGATCCAATTTCATAAAACAGCGGTTTTGCCCATCTCTAAGTGAGTCTCAGCAGCGATCTAAATCTACAGTGCAGGAGTGTTTTTAACTGCAATAATGAAGTCTGATTTAGGAGCATCTCTAATTTGTTAGAGTTTCAGTAACTTGAACAAAATGACTTAACTAAAACAAAATGACTGTGATGTGCACTTTGTACTGCAAATAGGATGTAAAGCATCCTATTTTGCCTGCTATATATTATATTCATGCTCGCTTCTTTCCTTAAGATTAAATGCACTACACTTATTTTCCCTAATATATTTTCGTTTATTTATAACTGAATTGAATTAAAATATGAGTTTAAAACCTCTCCAACCCTAATAAATGAAGGAAGCATAAATTTAATAATCGAAATCTGGACAGTTTTCTTCATGTAAACTTTCATTATGTTAATTGTGCTGAGTTTGAAAAGTATAATTGTTAAAAAGAATCACTACCAAATTCATAACTAGAGATAATTTTCTCAAATCTTAACCGTTCAATAAGAGCTTATGAGTGTTTGGCTATTGTGTTCAAAAGTGTAATGATAACTCATTTTTTGTGTTTGAGGATATCTTGTATTAAGGTTCCACTCTAACTCTATGCGCTTTGCGTTCAATAGATTTTAATTTAATGATATGAAAAAACTTAAATTATCTAAAAAAAGTTAAGATTATTATAAATTTAAAGACATACATGAATGCTTCCTTATTAACGGAGGATACGTTCCAGGATTAATTTTAGTAATGAGAAACAGTGAGTAATAAGGAATGCCAAAAATAGCAATATTCGTGTAATATACATACGCAGGATACACTTTAAATCACAAATTGCACAGAGTAAGACATTACAAAAATCAAAAAAGGGAAAAAAAAGTTCTATTTTTTAGGGCTATTATTTGAAAGTAAGCAGTTATTTATAATTTCAACCTTTACTATAACTTATCCTTTACGTTT